CTCCGATACTCAATTTCCCCTCAAGTCACGGGTTCCCTTGTCAACCTTGACTGCAAGCGAGCGGGAAAGAAGAACTGGGATAATGACATGAGGAACGGGATGTCAACAACATTGACTCCAAGCTCTTCCACGGGTTTCTCCTGTGATGACGTGTTCCCTGCACCCTGGTGGCCTGAGAGTTGGGATAGTATGATCGGAAATTGCAGAAACGCACACGTATCTCCTTCGTTCATGCCATCGTCTACGAACGTCTTCTCGTCCTTTTCTGAGGACTGCTATTGTTTCTCATCATCAGCATCAATGGAGGAGGACTGTTACTGCCATTCCTCCTCAGCCATTGCCACCGAACCGATGGACTGTTTGTGTGAAGAAAGCAGCAGCAGCAGTTCAGGTATAGACTGTCTGTGTGAAGAGTCAAGCTCATCTTCCTCATATGAGCCTGACTGCCTTTGTGAACCATTCAGTAGCAGCAGCTTCAGCAGTAGCTTGGATTGCCTTTGTGAACCAAGTAGCAGTAGTTTCAGTAGTAGCCTAGACTGTCTTTGTGAACCTAGCAGTAGCAGCTTCAGTAGCAGTCTAGACTGCCTGTGTGAGTCAAGCAGCAGCAGCTCTAGTTCAAGTTCTTCAAGTTCATCAAGTTCCAGCTCAAGCAGTTCCAGTGAGTCATATTCATCCTCTTCAAGCAGTTCCAGTTCAAGCAGCTCTAGTTCTTGCTCAAGTGAAAGCCTTTCCTCGTGCAGTTCCAGCAGTTCGAGTTCAAGCAGTTCAAGTAGTTCAAGCTCAAGCAGTTCTAGCTCGAGCAGTTCAAGTTCAAGCAGTTCAAGCTCAAGCAGTTCTAGCTCTAGCAGTTCAAGTAGTTCGAGTTCCAGTAGTTCAAGCTCAAGCAGTTCTAGCTCGAGCAGTTCAAGTTCGAGTAGTTCTAGCTCGAGCAGTTCAAGTAGCTCTAGTTCAAGCAGTTCCAGCTCGAGCAGTTCTAGTTCCAGTAGTTCAAGTTCCAGCAGCTCTAGCTCAAGCAGTTCGAGTTCCAGCAGCTCTAGCTCAAGCAGTTCGAGTTCCAGCAGTTCTAGCTCAAGCAGTTCGAGTTCCAGCAGTTCTAGCTCAAGCAGTTCGAGTTCCAGCAGTTCTAGCTCGAGCAGTTCAAGTAGTTCCATCTCCAGCAGTTCATGTAGTTCAAGTTCAAGCAGCTCTAGTTCCAGTAGTTCTAGCTCGAGCAGTTCCAGCAGTTCAAGTAGTTCAAGCTCGAGCAGTTCAAGTTCAAGCAGTTCTAGCTCTAGCAGTTCCAGTAGTTCAAGTTCAAGCAGTTCAAGTTCTAGTAGTTCTAGCTCAAGCAGTTCTAGTTCAAGCAGTTCCAGTTCCAGTAGTTCAAGTTCCAGCAGTTCTAGCTCGAGCAGTTCCAGTAGTTCAAGTTCAAGCAGTTCAAGTTCTAGTAGTTCTAGCTCAAGCAGTTCTAGTTCAAGCAGCTCAAGTTCCAGCAGTTCAAGTTCAAGCAGCTCTTGTAAGTATTAACTATGATGATTTTTGTAAGGACTTTGTGTTATTAACCCTTCCAGTGATATGGACGCCCTTTGATGCCCATCCTTTGTTACACCCCATTGATACAAACGCCGTTCAACGTCCCTAGCGCGATTCCTTTTTGATACTTATGGCTGTGAATGGGCAAAGCCCTTGCTGTGGGGAATATCATTAAGTTTTTTATTTTTCATTTTCTATTTTTTGGTAAATATGAAAATATATTAGAAAAAGTAGTACAATAACGGCATCAATTCTCAGGTAATTGTTACACTTCGTTTGTCAGGGAGATTATTTATTGTAGCCGAAACTACAAAAACGAGATTGCCAGGCATGCAAATAACTTACGAAAACATAAATGCATTTTTTTCATAACGAATATTGTAATTGTAAGAAATTGTGTGCACATGAGTTAGAAGATCTAATGCTCAAAACGACTACAAGTTTTATTTTAAAAAAATATAGAAACGTATCACACAGGGATGCATATGATTTCAGAGCATATCACTGAAAGGATTAAGAAACAATAACAGAAATCTCTAATCTACAGTTCTTGGGTACTTTCAATTACATTTTATCTTTGTCTCTCATCACAAAGGCTTTAATATCTTTTGCACCAAGGTATAGCTTTTAACTGCCTACCAATCTATGTAGTGTTTTTTTCCTTATCTCTGCTCTGCATGTCATGCTTTTCTCTGAGGGTAACTTTTCCTTCGTAAAAGTTTGGGGCATTCTCTATTTTTGAAAGTAGTTGTAGATGTTTGCGAGAGCAACAACTGTAGACAACTGTAACTGCTGTTCCGTCGACATATGCTAGATGGACATTTTTTTTTACAGGAATATCCAAATACCCAAAGCTCCATATTTTGCCATTGAAACAAATCTGTAATCTAAACTTGTAACTGGGGTTTTTCAGCAAGCAGCAGCAGTTCTTCCAGCAGCAGCAGTTCATCAAGCAGCAGTAGTTCCTCAAGCAGCAGCAGTTCCAGCA